AAAAAAAAAAAAAACGTGTTTTTTTTTTCCTATTTTCTTCGATTTCGCCCTTACCCCCCCAACCAAAAATTTGATTTTTTTCGTTTTTTTTTGCCTGATGGGGTGGGGCTGGGGTTGCGCCGCCACGTGGCGCTCCCCGATTCCTCAACCTCCCTCCCCAGCAGCCGCCACTCGTCCGCGCGGACGCATCCGCGGGCTTCGCGGCCTGGCCGCGGCCGCGGACTTGGCCACGCCTGTCCGCCGCTGCCAGGGGGATACATAGCGTGCAGATGATGCAGAGGCCCGTTTATGCAACTGCGTTTTAGTTGGATCCACGGAGGAGAGACTCAGGCTGGCTCATCGATCCGAACAGCGCCCTCGTGCAAAACGCAATGCGCTTCTTCTGTAGGCAGATTGGAGCAGAGTGAGATTCGTGCCGCACATGGACATGTGGGATCATCTGTATAAGTTTTTGAGAGAGCCTGTGGAAGGGGAAGTCATGACAGATGAACACATGTGGACATTGATTGCCATCAAGCAAGCAACACAACATACGTCTGCAGACTGGTGGACCTTGTACGGTGGGGATGTTCCACATCTGCAGCAGATCGCCATCAACGTGTTGGGAATGTGGAGCATGGTGACACCCACGGAGCGGAACTGGGCATCGGTGGACTTTGTCCATTCGAAGCGCAGAAACAGTCTCTCGCCAGAGTCCTTGGAGAAGCTGGTTTACATTCACTGGAACATGCAGTTGTTGCGTGTTCCAAATAGCAAGGACAATGGCTACGTGGACGTGTGGGGATCCTTCTTCGAGCCGTCGAGGGAGCCGGCAACGGAAGGTGGAGTTGTCGAGGACGCCACGGAGGATGAGACAACCGACAATATCGAGGAGGAAAAGAGGCAAAAGAGACTGAAGAAGACTCCAAAGGACCTGATTCCGAAGAGCCTGCTGGATGACGATTCAAGCGGGAGCAGCTATCTTGAGGATCTCGTGTGGAAGGGGAAGTATTGGAACGAATTCACTTCCGAGGAGAGTGACGGTGAGGATAACATTGGGGAGGACTCAGATTTCGAGTTGGGGGGCAATCTGGCGGTGTCAGCCACTACGTACATCGGTCGGAGGCTTAGGAGGCGAGAGAAGGAGGCAGAGGTGCTGCCTTCCGAGGCCATCGACAAACTGGACACTAATATGGAGTTCTTGGCACACCCTACGCCTGATGCAGACGAGGAGGAAGCAGCTCGGGCCAAGGCTATGGCAGATAGGGATATCGCTTTGGTTCAGAGGCGGATGTGTGAGGAAGAGGCTCGTCCTGCTGGTGTCCCCACCTGGAGGGAGAGAGAGAGAGACAAAGCAAATAAGTCAACCAACATGAGGAGCAACATATTGATGAAAAGGATGAAAGGGTGGACAATATGGAGGTAGATAAGGTTGACGTGCGTGCAGAACATGAAGGGAGTTTGCAGCATGAGGGAATGGATATTGGAGCACATGGAGAAAAAAATGTGCAGCAACAAGGAGAAAATCGTTTGCCGCAAGAGGGGGGTGATATGAAGGAGGATGAGGAAAAAACTCAGCAGCAAGACGGAGAGGAACTGCAGCAACCAGCACCACCAACGGTTTACGCACGAAGACCCCGCCCACCGACACAGCAGCAGCCTGCATCGCAAGAGCCGCGGGAGAACCAACAGGCTGTGGCTGCGGAGCAGTCATAAAAACTCGGATCAACGGTGAGAGGAGCAGCCGCCTCAGCAGCGGTCCACTTCGGCATACCCCCGTACCCAGCACAGAATGAGGATGCCGAACACGATAATATCTGGAAAAGCTAGGCGGGGCGAAAGAGGAAGGCTCCGGTGAATGAAGTCCCCACACCACGTCGTCGCCGTGGGAGACCCCGCAAGGAGAAGACGGGGCACAAAGCTGCACCAAAGTCAGAATGTGGTCATGATAGGCCCCGCAAAGTGCAAGTCTCGGAGGATGACCCCGACTCAGATGGTGGAGGTGCAGAGTCGTCGGACGACGAGATTAGCCAAGAGAATTCCAAATGTGTGTGTGTGTGTGTGTGTGTGTGTGTGTGTGAGAGAGAGAGAGAGAGAGAGAGAGAAGGAGAGTGTGTGTTTCACCGTGAACATGACAAACTGCTGCAGATCTTCATCTTTATTTAATTTTATGTCACGAGTTTCATTTTTCCGTTCTTCTTCTTCTTTTTCTTCTTCTTCTTCCCTCTTTTCTTCTTCTGCTATTCTTTTTTTTTTTTTTTTTTTTACCCTCCTGTTCTTCACAATTTTTTGCCTTATAGTATTGTCTGGCTTCACTTTCATTTTGTATGCATGATGTTGTTTGCAGGCCTGCAAACCGCGACCGCAACACCCTCCTTTCCACTCTTGACCTCGACCCCTCCTCCCTCCCGGCACAAAAAACAAAAAAAATCCAACATTCAAAGTTTTATTGCGGAATCCGATAGATCGCGGCAAGCACCATCCGATCCCGCGAAAAAAAAAAAAAAAAAAAAAAAAATTGGGCATTTTTTTGGGGCATTCGGTATGCCGGTTGACCCCCCCGGCCCAGTCCGGCCAGGGTTGGACCGGGCCAGCTCGACCGACCGGTTGTCGGCCAAACCCTGACTTGAACATTTTTGCCATCTTATCCACTTGAACATTTTCCTCGCTTATGGACAATAATATTCAAGACCGCGGTGACATCCAGTCCACAAGATTGTGAGTTAAAACTTTCAGTATGGTTTGAAGTTACAACCAATACCACCATGTTGGCACTTGCAAGGCAAAAAGTTGTGAAGAAGACGGTCCACAATCTTCAAATGGGTATGTCCACGCTACAACGGGTACACCTTCACTAGATGCTTCTAGACGGGCTAGCAGTCATAATTAATACGAAGGAAGAGGTGGATTCCTCTTTTACCTCTCAATGCTAGCAGTACCTCGCTGGCAGCTCCAACATCCTGGCATTGCGTTCCTTTGGCTTTTGACTTCTTAACCCAGAGTCCGAACCTCCATAGTTGATGATGGGTACTAGTTTCTCTTCAATCCCTTAGTGGCAGCTCCTAGAGTCCTAACCTTCTTTCCCTTCCCTTTTGACTTTTTATCCCAGGTTCTGATTTCTTGTCCCAGAGTTTGAACCTCCATATGTGAGATGGTGTATCTGAGATGGTGGCCACTGACCACACTCTTTCCATAAGCGGAAAAACACCATTTACTTTGCACTCACCCCTGATACTCAATCCTTGGGGACTGGAAGGGGGAAGTGATGTGAGCATCTTCTCTTGGCCCATCCCGGGATTGGTGGTGAGGAACACTTGCTGGAAATCAGGTTCATCAACACATTCATTCCAACCCATACTCCAGGGTCATTCCCTAGGGAGCAACACTTGCTGGAAATCAGGTTCAGCATCCCCTAGCACATTCATTCATTCCAACCTATATTGTGGGGTCATTCCCTGGACCGCCAAATAGACAGCAATGGCCCTGACCGGGTTTTGTCCCCCTCCTCTGCTTTTCAGCCACTGTGCCACTGCAGGTTCACCAACGCAAGCCAATAGGGTGGGAAGAGATCCAGAAACTCCGAAGGGGGCTGCATCCAAATAAACGAGCTCAATGGGGTGGGAGAGATCCAAAAACTATGAAGGGGGCTGCATTGAAATAAATGATTTCATAACGATGAAGGCATAAATTACAAAGTCAAGTTAACGAAGTCGTAAGAACCTGTGTAGCACATCGAACATGTTCGGAGCTTTTCTGAACGTCCGAACTTGTTCGGGTGTTCGGCCGAACGCCTCCCCCACGAGTTCGGTGGAATATATATATATATATATATATATATATATATATATATTCAGCCTCCTGATGAGTCGATGAAACTTCGACGAAATAGTTTGCCACAGCCCCTCGTTTGTTGTCCTCTTCTCCCTCTTTGCTTACAGTTTACCGGGCAGCTCTGAATATATATATATATATATACAGGGTCACCAGCCCGTACGTACGGAGGTCCCCGGGCAGACCTCCGTACGTACGGGCGTTCGGGGTCCCATACGGGGTCCGAACCCGACGGCGTTTGGCCCCCGCCAAAAAATATTTCGGGGCCTAAAACTAATTATTTTTTTCAGAGTTTTGTTTTGTGAGTTCTCTATGACGTGAGGTACATGCCTGTAAATTTTCAAGTCATTTGGCTACGCCAAATAAGAATTAAAAATCGCCAAAGATGGTGGTGTCAAAACGTGCTCGCCCACGTATTTGTTCACTTTTTACTTTTTGTTTTCACTTTAGTTCGGGGTTTAAACAATTTTATTAATTTTTGAAACTTTTTTAGTGGGTTTTGTATTATGTAAAGTACACATCTGTAAATTTTCAGGGCATTTAGCTATCCCAAAAAAAAAATGAAAAATCGCCAAAGATGGCGGTGTCGATGCTCGCACACTCACTAAATTTAATTCTCTTTTTATTTTTGTTTATTTTTATTACTAGTATTTGTTTTCCGTACTTTATTTTTATTTCCAATTTGGTAACGAATTCGGATGTAATGCTCAGGCAAATCTTGTTTAATTTATTTTTCTCCATAACATACCTTGTTTTCATATTTTTTTGATCACTTTTTTTTTTTTTTTTGGGTCCGCGTTCGGCCCGAACGGCCGAACACATCCCCAAGGGGTCCCATACGTTCGGGCGTTCAGCCCGTCCCGAACGCTGGTTACCCTTTACATATATATATATATAAACATTTTTTTAAGGTTTTTGATTTTTAACTCAAATTTGGTTACGAATTTGAGCATACCTCCAAGGCAAACATTGTTTGTATTATTACTTTGCATAACATATAATGTCATATATTGTTTTCCTAAGTAACAAATCCGGATATCCGGACACCCTTGAATCATCCGGATTTGCAGACCGGATAATACTGCCCGGATGAAACCGGATTAAGCATATCCGAAGGGTCCAAATAGGGTATTTTTCCAAAAAAATAAAACATCTAAAAAAATTCTGAAAAAAAAATAGTTTGTAGATTATAACAATACCAACAACTTTTGGCTGGAGGTCACTTTAAAATTCTTATCCAATCTGGAGATAAAAAATAAAAACAAAAAAACATAATTAAATTTTTTATTTTTTATTGTCCGGATTTTATCCAGAAATTCCGGATAAACATTTTGAATCCCCGGATGTTCCGGCCAGATACTCCGGAGAGTTAATCCGCCTGTTTTTTTTTATATTTTTATGTTCGCGTTCGAAGGGTTTTGACACTCGTTTGCGTTCGGTCCTGAACGTTCGGGTCCGATTACCGAACCCGAACACAATGCTACACAGGTAAGAACCTATTATGAGGTCAAACATGCTTACTTTTATTATATCAATATATTGAATAAAGTTCTTTGCTTACTTCTTTTATATCAATATATTGAGTTAGGTCATTTGGCAGATACTTTGCGGGTTATATAAGAAGACCGCGTCAAAGATCGAAGAATTTGTTCTCTGTAACGATTGAGTCACAGTTTCTTTTCAACTTTTAAAAGTTGTCAATCGAACCTTTTGGTTCTGTCTGTTGTACTTCCCTGAGAATCAAACTTGGTTTGGTTTTCACGGTAAGAAATACCGAGACAATTTGGTTTTTTATGACATGCGTGGCCTAAGAAATACCGAGACAACTGGTTTTGTACGACTCTTACATGTCCAAGGCCGTGAAGTGGCGGCGACACCATTTCAATTTCATTCGAACAAAGTACCGAACGGGTGCGTAACGCGCGGGGATCTACCAAATAGTTTGAAAAAATCCGAAACAGTCTGGATAGTCAATTTAGCGTGATATTCAAAGTTTTCACGATGTTTGATGAGCCTGCGTAGTATAAGGTAGTTGGTTAGGTAAAGGTTGATCAAGATGATGATGCTTATGTGGTTTCAACAGGTTTTTAGTTGGTTCTTACATCTCTTTCGAGATGAATAAATAAAAAAAAGACCCTGGCGACTCTTGGATCAGTCATATTAAATTCATGTTCGTAGTCTCTTTTGATCGTTCGTTCTTCTGCTTGGTGGCAATCTAGCCCCTTTGGTGACCCGTGTTACAAGTGCATCTCGTTTAACTGCCAGTACTTGGCCCACCTTGAAAAAAAATATGCGCCTTGTTTATGGGTGTGCTTTTTCGGGGGTTGGCCAAATTAAAGGTCAGTCACCACTCGACACAACTCCTATATAGAGGGGGGACCCCTGCAAGGTAAAAAAAGAATAAAGTGTTGTAATAATATTCACAACTCCTATATCGCATGTTCATACGTTAATAGAGATGACAAAAGAGAAGAAGATAGTGTTATAATAATATTCATAACTAATGTATCGCATGTTCATACGTTTATAGAGATGACACAATAGTCGTGTGGTTGTAAAGCATCAAGGTACCTTTGCAAGGTAAGAAAGGAACATAGTGTTGTAATGATATTCACAACTCATGTGTCGCATGTTCATACGTTTATAGAGATGACACAATAATCGTGTGGTTGTAAAGCATCAATGGACCTTTGCAAGGTAAGAAAGGAACATAGTGTTGTAATGATATTCACAACTCATGTGTCGCATGTTCATACGTTTATAGAGATGACACAATAATCGTGTGGTTGTAAAGCATCAATGGTATGATTATGATTGGACAATAAAGTGATTCAGTTCGCATAGGTCCTGAATAATTGATAAACAAGAACTCAACATATAGAGTCGTGTCGCATGTTTATACGTTTATAGAGATGACACAATAGTCATGTGGTTGGAAAGCATCAATGACCCGATTCGAATTGGACAATAAAGTGATTCAGTTTGCATTGGTCATGAGTAATTAATAAATTGGAACTCAACATATAGAGTCGTGTGGTTGTAAAGC